AGCTCTGCCGCCCTTGTGTAAAATACGCGGCTGGTTCTTGGGGGCTGGGCAGGGAACCACAGCATTCTGGATGTTTTCTCCGTTGGTTCCAAATTACACCTCCCAGGGGGACGATGTTTTTTGGTGCTGATTATACCCCGCTGACAACTGCATCCTACGCGATATACAGGTTGTCGATTCCAACCTTGGCGGATTCCATGACTCGCTGATCACTTTTCGAGCCAGGTCCCTGGATATAGGCTGCATGTAAGACGGCGTCGATGGCACCACTAAGATGACACAAATAAGAACATGTCGTCTGCTGTCAAAGACTGATGTGCTGCACTCCTGCCACCTTCGGCATTCTCAATTCATCAAGTAATTACGATGCGGCTCCTCTCTTCTCTATCGCTGCTCGTGACGGCGGCTTCCGCCCTCACCGTAAGAGTCCCATCCGTCGCAGAGGACTTGAAGACCCTTGTAGCAGCATCGTCATCAGTAGCTGTTGACCTCCGTGCGAGATGGAGTACATACCATGCTCCCATCCCGTCCATCGTGGTGAATGTGACGACGGAGAAAGACGTCGGCGCCATCGTGAGTTGTCCTACCAAAAGCCGCATCATGAGCTATGTTCCCTGACCTTTGTACCAGGTCAAATACTGTGCAAGCCGCAAGATACCCTTCACAGCCCAGAACGGTGGTAACGGTTGGGGCAAGACATTTAACCTTGGCAATAACGGGGTCATCATCAACTTGGCTGGGCTGAATGCCGTCACTTTTAGCAAGACGAAGACGGAAGCCACTATCGGAGGCGGCGCTATCATTGGCGACACAATCAAAGCAGCTAATGCTGCTGGTGTATTGGTCCAGACGGGCAACTGCAACTGTGTCGGTGCCCTTGGTGCCATCCTAGGAGGCGGTTACGGTAAGTGGAAGACACTGACAATCTAGGCCAGACCTTGAACTAACAACACGACAGGGAATCAAATGGGAGAAGTTGGCTTTGGCGTTGACAATGTGCTCTCCATGCGCGTTGCAGTCGCCAGCGGAGAGATCCTCACGGCCTCGCCGACCTCCAACCCAGACCTCTTCTGGGCCCTCCGCGGCGCCGGACCCAACTTTGGCATTGTTATCTCGGCGACGGTCAAGGCGCGACCCATGCCGGCCGAAGGCCGCAACGCCTGGCTCATGAACCTCTTCTTTTCGCCGGACAAGCTTCCGCAAGTTGCACAAGCCATCCAAGACCTGCCCCTGAAACCGGAGCAGGTCGTCTACCTCGTCCTCACCAACTCGGGACCACCATCCAACGCCCCCGCCGTCCTCGTCACCGGGTTCCTGCGCCAAGGCAACGACGCGACTGGGCGAGCGGCTTTCGCGCCGCTGTATAAGCTTGGCCCGATCTCGAATAGCAGCAGCGTGGCCGGGTACGAAGGCTGGAACGCGGGCAACGACAACTTTTGCGCGCGCGAGGAGCGCAAGCCGGCGTACAGCACGACCATTAACCACATGAAGCCCGCGACGTGGCCAGCGATCTGGGACTTGTACACCAAGTTCCAGGCCAAGGGGCCCAACTCTGCCGTCTTGATTGAGCGGTATAACCTGACCAAGGCGCAGTCTGTACCCAAGGGGTCTGCGGCGCTGCAGGAGGCGTTAAGGAGGGATGCGTTTGCTCAGGCGATTGTGATTCCGTGGTATACTGATGCTTCGCTCGACGGCGAGGCCGAGGCGTTTGCGAGCAAGGTTAGGGATATTTGGAGCTATTCGCCGAGTGCGGTGGCTAACCCGACGTATATTAACTTTGCGCATGGCGATGAGACGCCTGAGGCAGTGTATGGGTCGAGTTTGACGAGGCTGAGAGAGCTGAAGAAGAAATGGGATCCTTTGGGGGCTTTTAATCAGTGGTTCCCAGTCGGGGCATGAGATATGGGGTCCGTCACGAGTTAAATGGAAACTTTTGAATGGTATAGCTATAGCTTCTGGATATAACCACGCTCTCCTCGATTGCGTTCACCCGGCTTTAGTATATCGAGGTGTCAAATCTCATAACTCCGGCTTCTGGGCAGGATCACGCTCCACTCGTTTGCATTCTCCTGATTCTAGTGGTGCGAGATACTGTTTGTAGCGAAAGAACTCCCTGTGAAATTTCTCCGATTCTTCATCGGCGGTTTTGGGTCCGATTGGGGATGCTGCGGACTCTGCTCCTCCATCCGGCCTTGATAGCCAAGGCCACCATCCAGATAGCGGCATGTTAACGAGGATGGCGTTGAGTGATTGTGGACGAACCATCGGAGATGACTTTTGAGTTATCCTAACTATTCGGACAAGGAACCATGGGTATTGTCGGATAGCCGGGAATCGCGTACCTAGATGACTGCATTCCGTCCGTATCTGAAGACTCCGACTTCAAGACCACTTGTTTCTGATTACTTGATCAATAGAATCTCCATTGATTTCTTAAGGCACTAGGCGTTTCTCCTATTCCCACATCATGTTGCCAGTTCAATCATGTCAAGATTCTGAACCAAATAGTCGATACTAGGTAAGTGTGTGTAGCTGAGATTCTCTGTAGAAAGTGCTAATGACTAGAGGGAATGGCTTCGGGGCGATGGAATTCAATTGGAAAGGCCGATTGTGAACTGTGAGGATTGCAAGAAGTATCGGATCCAAGTCCGGGCTCCACTTGAAAAGTGCGGCCCCACACCGGCTCCGGATGCAGATGCGCCAGACCGGTAGTCTGGGATTGGATCATAAATCGGACGGGACCTGGACCGGTCTCTTGTCAGATGAGTAGGATCCCAGCAGCGGATGGAGGGGTCTGGATTTAAGTGGTCCAGTGTCTCGGACAAAGCAGTCGGTGGTCTGACGTCGTTGGTAAAGCATTGCTGACATAATCCTCAATCGCACCTCGATTAAACCTAGCTAGGTACAATGGGACGGTTGCTGGAGGTGCGCCCAAAGATGAGGTAGCTTCAACGGTAGTGTACCGGCCGCCCTGGTGGCTTGGGATGTTGAGAACCTATTTTTGTGGCCACCACAGACCGCAAAAGGAGCTCGGTTGGTCGGCCGGTCAGAGCCTCAGAGGTGCAGCCGCTAAGGTAGGGATGGCGTTGAGTCTTTTGTCAGATTGTGGTGTGACTTGCAGCGCACCAACTGTCAAAGACCCGGAGCTAAGGAGAAGTGATGATGATTTGTTTGTCGGGGCATGGGCGGAAGAGATGAGGATGCAAACAAAGCAACAAACGGATCTTGCCATATCAATGACTCCTTCAAGGGGGACGGCTTCCTGCATCCCTTGGCTTCTTTGCTCAATGCAACAAGACCTATTCCCACGCACGTTGTTTATGCATTAACAGGTGAAAGGGAACGGATAATTGAGGCTCGTCTTTCAAGTCTTCGAACTCGATCCAGGGTCCCTCCAGAATTCAATGTGAATTGGCCCGAGGTGAGCTTCCTCTTCACCTCTTTAGGTGACTGCTAAGGTGAGGTACGGAGCACCTTCCAATCGGTCGGTACGTGCTTTTAGAGTGGGCCGTGGCTGTAGCTCTCCGGAGAGCCAATCAGATCGAGGATGGGAAGCTCCAAGCTCGGAGTACGTACCGGGAAGATCGAACCGCCTTTTTTTTTTTTTTTCTCTTCTCTCAGGTTCTTGCGGGGGTAAAATTTTGTGACGCAGCCCCGGTTTTTGTCATCATCGGATTATTTTTTATTTTTTTTTATTTTTCGATCTCTTTTTTTTTTTTTTTTCCTTTCCTAACCCAAGCACCGGCCCACGATCTGAGGGTGAGTCCTTACGGTGTACTATCGTTACTGGGCTCAGAGCAGTAACATCTCGCCGGATAGGAGCAGGAAGCACCTACTCCAGCTGCAGTTCTTTCCTGGCCTGGCTGGATGCCTATCTAGGTATCTGCGCATAGGAAGGTACGGACTCGGTGACTTCCAATTCTACGTGACCAATATCCCAAGACCTTAAACAGAAACGGTCAAGCAAGGCAGGGACGGAAGCTTGCTCTTGCTCGCACCTTCCTTCTTCCCGTCTTATTAATCGCTGGCTCTTGGACGTTTTATTTTCCACCTCCACCTCCACCACCAACACCTAAGTGACCTGTGACCCAACAGTCAACACCCCGTCATCCAAAGGGCCAAGGACGTCAAGACTCAAACGGCCCGTCTTTTTGTCTTCTTGTCGTCTGCTTCTTCCTCTTCTTCTTCTTCTTTCTACCCCTTGATCCTTTTCTCCTCCCCTTCATCCACTTTCTTCTGCTTGACATCCCATAGTCACGCCTCTTTCACCACGCTCGGGGGACCCTCCACTCCACTCTCTCACGTCTCCCCTCTCCTCATCCGTCCGTACGGATACCTTACTTAACCTTGCCTTACCTCATCACGCAGCACCGCCTGAAGCTGCTCGCTATTCTGTTGTGCCTCGCTCTGACATAACTCCCTCCCACTTCCCTTCTTTTCCCTCTTTGCCTCTCGCTATTTTGGTTCCTGCTTCCTCCTGCTTTCGCCGTCTGAAGACTTTGGTGGCACGCATCAGCACCCGCATATCCCCTCTATCATGCGCAGCCCCTACCCAACAGAGGCTCCTCTCACCCTACACGAAAAGAGTCACTAGCTCTGTTTGAAAGCTACCTTGCCCCCCATCCAAGGCCACACCACACGACTTACAATTTGCGATTCTTCCATCCAGCTCGACCGCCTGTCTTCTTCCCTCAGAGATATCCACTTTCTCCTCGGAGTAGTGTGGCCCACTCTGAGAAGAAACTGCCCTGGGTCTGTCTGCGCCTCTAAAATACTGCCGCTATCGCCGAACCGACCACAGCTGCTACCGCCTACCGTCTACCGCGAACCACCCCCGGCTCCTATTCCTTGTGTGGCCCCGGCACACACAGCAGCCCATCCACTCTCAATCTTGGGGCCCGTCCCGCCAAGTCAAAGACCGCTTCTCTTTGTGCTGTGCGCTCAACAGCACCCTCTCACAATCACCACCACACAAACCCTCCCGCCTAGCCCCGTCCACCATGGCTCCCAACGGCAATCCGAAGGCGAGGAACGGTGCCGGTGTCGCCCATGGAAGATCCAGCGCTGCAAGGCGTGTGGTTCCTGTCATTCCTCTCCCCATGGACCGTCGCGTCAAGGCCAATGCTGCTGCAAAGCAGGCCGCCGCTGCTGCCCAAGCCGCCACTATTGCGACCCTTCCTCGACCCGCCATCACGAACGGATCTTCCTTGAAAATCCAGCACGACGTCGACTCCGCCCCCAACACGCCCGAGACCACCGAGATTGAGATTGCCACAGACGAAAACGACAAGGGAGAGCCCGTTGCTGCCAGCAATGGTGCTGAGGAAACGCCTTCGCCTGCCGATGCGGAAGTCGATGACACAAAGGATCGCGAAGGTACGCAGGAATTTTTGCCAGGCTTCAACGCACTCGGAGAACATCCCACTCACTCTTTTCTACTAGCTACCGACTCCCAGGAGTCTTCCGCCGCCATCCCCACCCCGTCCACGACCGAAGAGTCCGAATCGACCGACAAGACCGCCGCCGACCAAGACCTCCCCCGCTCTGCTGAAGAGCCTGTTCGAGGTATGTCCGCCCTTGGCACTGGCAGCTCCGGGCACCCCATCTCACACGCTACAGGCAGTAATCACATCGCCTCTCCGCCCGCGGTGGTTCGAGTTGCGAAGAAGGGTAAGAAACTTCAATATTATGATATCGTCATGCCGCAAAGTCCTAATCACCATGCTACAGACAATGCTCCCCAGCAGCATCCGTCGACATTCAGACCCCCTCCCGTTATTCCTCCGACGCGTTACAACATGCCACCCAATGGTCACAATGGCTCGCGCCCTTCTCCCGTCGTCATCAATGGTACCTCTCACCGGGGCCCCCGATCTGTTCACAACGGCCCTCCACACATGCATGGCCCGCGTCCCAGCAACGGAAGCCTTCAGTTTGGAGGCTTCGCGTCCAACTCGTCTTCTCCGGCGCCTCCTCACTCTGGAGGCTTCATGCCCCCTCCCGGCATGCCTCTCCCCGACGGACGATCCTTCAGCGGTGCTGCCAACGGTTTTCACCGCCAGATGCCCTACGGCACCGAGTTTGTTCCTGGTACAGGTGTAGATGGTTTCGGTCGACCTGTTCCAGGCTATGGAGGCATGGAGCAGTACCCTCCTCACCTCAACGGTGGCTACGGACCTTCGACTCCTCATAGTTTCCAGGGGTCGCACTCTTCGGCCCATGCGGATGACACTGGTGCCTACAATCACTACCCCGCGCCAGGCGTCCCCAACGGTACAGCACATGTCGATGACGCTCGCCCTCACCCTCCTCCGGCCGGAGCTTTCGGTGTACCGCCCCAGCGAATGATGCCTGGGCCCATTCCGCCCCCGCATATGATGCACCCGGGCCACGAGCATCAGGGACTGGACGACATGGCCGCCTACCTGCGATCACAGTTTAGAGACCCTGCCTTTGCCGACTGCACCCTGGAGCTTCGCTACCTCGACGACCGCGCTCCTCCCGTTCGCCTCCCAGGTCACCGCCTCGTTCTTGCCAGAAGCCAAGCCGTCCGCAACGTTCTAGAGGCCGATAACGTCGAATCCAGCTCGCCCGGCGCTAACCGCACCATCCTTCTGCAGTCCGATGACAAGTACCTCCGATCCGATGCCTTCTGGATGGCCGTCCAGCACCTGTACGCCTTCCCGCTGTTGGAAATGCCAGAGCCGGCCTCCAATGGCAACTTCACCATGGCCGGCAATGCCGATGACCGCTTCGACTTTGCCCTTGGCTATGCTGCCGCTGGCCATATCCTGGCGTGGCAGCCTATTGTCTTCCGTGGCCTGGAGATAGCGTCTCATTCCCTTAGCTGGTCGACGATTGAGCGTGCTCTTGGCTTCGCTCTCGGTGATCTGCCCAGTCGCGCTTCAGCTGACAGACACAGCCAGTTCGTCTATGGCGAGCCTGTCCACGTTCTGATGAACGGCATTATCTCGTTCATCATCAACAACTTCCCTCCCGACTTCACCCTAGACACGTCTGTCGCCGATCCCGAGCGCTTTGCCCGACTTCCCATTGCCTCGACATCGCTCCCGCCCCGGGAAGGAACACCCACTATTGCTTGCGGAACAGCAGGCCAAGATCGTCGCCCTCGCCCCATGCACATCCAGTTCGGTGACCTCGCTTTGTGCCCCGACAGCACATCAAACGGTTCGGATTCGACCTCGCAGTCCTCTCAGCAAAATAGCATCCGGTCGACGCTCTCAACTATTCTCATTAACCTCCCGTTTGCGTACTTGAAGCCAGCCCTCGAGTCCAGTGGCTATGGTAATGTCAATGGATGGGCGAACGTCGAGGCTCGGCACCACATCATGCGGGCCGTTGTTTCTGAGCGGGAGAATAGACGCTCGAGAGTGGCCGAGGCGGTCAGATCTGGTGCAGTTCCGCATGCCGAGTCCATCTTGTATAGCCTGCAGACTGCCGATTCCCGTCAGAACGAGGAGTGGCACGCCCTTGGCTGGCGCGAGGATGTGGTCTCGTACGTTAACGGCGACGCGCCGTCTCTCGGCCGGCAGTGGGCACCGTTGATGGCGCCACAGCAGCAAAACGGCACCAACCATGTGGAGGCTACCAGCCGAGCGGCCTATCCTTGAGACGGTGCAATCGCGCAGCTAGGATTACGATGTTACGACACGGGAACTAAAAACAACCAACAGTGGATGACCCGCAATGGGCTGCAATCGCATTTGCATAATGGAGTACAAAAAGCGGCAGCAATTCCTTTTCTCAGGTTCAGGGCGAAGGTTTCGGCATTGCATATGGTGTTGGCAGTTTTCTCTTTTTTTTTTGGCAATGGAGCCAGAACATAAAAGCTTTGGGAAGCGCGCGGGCGGTATCGCTCAGCGCCTTTTTTTTTTTTGGCTGGTAATGGGCGTTTACTGCGCCAGTTTTCTTTGTATGCGCGTGCAAACAATCTGACGAGGACTGTCCTTGGTGGATGCTCAATCCTTTCTGATGCTGGCCGATTCTTTATTGGACGCTTGACAGAAAGGGAAGGGCGTTTGGGTGAGGATAGACAAGGGATTCGGCAAAGATTCTCGGGGTACCCTGAGTCAAGGAGGAAAGATATCCTCAATCTACCTGGGCGGCCACGAATGACGATGGCATATGACGATATGAGGGGAACAAAAAAAATACGGCGACGGAGGGACAAAATTTCAAGCCAGGATATGGCTGTCGGTTGTGGGGATGAAGGATACCCAGGATGAGTGAGATGAGAAAGGCTGCTCTGGTCTGCCGAGGAAGCAAAGGCAAGGACGGGGATAGTGGCAGGGCATGAGACGTGTGTTTTTAGCAACGGAATGGCTTGCGAGGCCGTGAATGCGTGCATTGCGAAAATGGTACTCATTGAAGATTGACAGAGATGAAGTGCGACTTGAAGATGAGAGGCTCATAACGAGACTCAGTGAGCCTACCTATCTGTGAGATGTAAGTGAGGAGGAGGTTGATGTCCACCTCACGTGCCTCGGTTAAACTAGGATGAGCTCGCGGTGAGTTATGGCAACAAACGCGACACAAGAAGACACTTATTTGGCTGATGCAACGTCATTAACAATAGTCAACATGAAAAAAAAAAAGTCAACAAGAAAATCAAGACGCGACTTGTGCTATGGTACACGTGTAAATAGGGAGTAATGTACAGTAAGTTTGTCAGTGTGGATGATGCATGAAGTAGTCATTAAACTTGGATTGTCTGCAAGTGACGAGTGTGGGGGAGTCCCCTGCTGCGGGGGGGACGCCTTGGACGCCTAGGGAATTAGCTGCGTTGCATGGGCCTATGGGTAGCACCCGTTTTCGTTTGTTTCTGCCCCTACGGATACTGGACCCCGGAAAGGTAGGCAGGCACCTTGTCCTGAAGTACTAAGGTAGGTAACTGGAGGGATGAGTGGGATGGTCCATGGATCATTAGGTGGTGGTCAATAATTCCAGGTTGGGCCTGAGAGCCGAGGCATGTGCTTGTTGTATGCTTTCGGCCGCCCAAGGAAATGTTTCCCGTGACACTCTGACGGCCCCCCCCCCCCCCGGGACGGAGTCTTGGGTGTTTGGCTCGAGGGGTTCCCAGGTTGCTCCGTCCAGTCCGTCCAGTGTGCGTTTCTGCATTCCTTCCACAACCACGCGCGGCAACAACCATTGCTTTTCTGCCTTTCTACGCTCTACACCATTTTAACTTCTTGTTGCTTTTTTTTTTTTTTCTCGCCTCACCTTCAACAGCTGCTGTTCTAACTTAATTGCGTCTTTCCACGACTCACGCCGCGCAACTCTTCCCCTTTATCTCTGATACCTCGACCACCTTACAGTACGTTCGTCATTGAAGCCATCACCGTGCACACGCACTTGGACGATTGGCCGTCTACCCAAGGTTTCGGCTTTGGCACGTGCTAACCAAGAGCTACTCCAGTTCGGACCAAGCACATTGCCAACCACCAACCACCGAGGAACACACCTCACTCACACACAAAAGCAAGCACATCCAGTATTATCACAACCAAGATACTAGAACGGCTACACCGTCTCCAAGGCCTCGATTTAAGTAACACACACAATTCTCTGCTGGCGCTGCTCATCTCCCCCATCAGGCGCCTCATCGCAGTCACCCACCACCACCATCCCATCTCGCGATAATGGCCTCTGCCGCGACCTCGTCGTCGCGGCCAGGCCCTCTTGCAGCCTCCCGTCCCGCGCAAACATCGAGCCCCCGGCCCTCCGCAGGCGGCCCTTCCTCGCGACCACCGCCCTCGCGCAACAGCATCACCGATCCCATCCTCCGAAACACCCTGCGATACACAATTTCCGCGAAGGAGTATGCCACTCTGCACAAGTACGTCTTGTCGCGCTCGCGCCTGCTTAAGAGGGCTGCGCCGAGCGTTACTGCCGTCGAGCGCATCGTCGATGGTGACAAGGCCGCGGCTACAAGGCAAGGGAATGCTGCTGCCGCTGCTCCCGCTGGTGCTGGGGCTGGTGCCGGGAGAGCAGTGGACGATTACAATGCCCGCGCCGTGCGGCATTCGCTTCGCGTCTTCTTGGGAACAGCTATGGCGTTGAAAGGCTGGGCTCTTATCTCGACCAAGTTCCTGGGCGGGAAGCCAGAGTAAGTTGCTGCTCCAATCATTCATACACGCGAGAAAGACAGCATGCTGATGATGTATGTGCCTTGCGCACTTGCAGTCCCAATGCCAAAAAGCAACCCCTCCACAAGTCGCCCACCCTCCGACTCTCCCTCTCCCTTTCGGCTATCCTCCTTCTCTACCGCATCCTCTTCCGATTCCTCAACCGCCTACGTGCGCACCTTCTCGACCCATCAGCGGCGCCCTTCCGCCAGCGCAACCCGCGCACAACTGCGACCTTGACGTCCCCCTTCGCTCCGGCCATTGGCGCCTCTCTCGCTGGTGCTTTTCTGGGCGTGTATCCCGCCCAGCAGCTGCGCGTCACCATTGCAATTTACACCCTGTTCAGAGCCCTCGAATTCGGCTGGAACTTGTGTGAAGAGGAGGGCATGATTTGGGGCTTCAAGAACGGCGGAAAGGTCAAGAGGGAGAGACCTTGGTGGTGGGGTAGCTGGCTCATCCAGCCTTTTGCTTTTGGACAGCTGCTTCACGCTGTTGTCTTTGACCGGGATTGCTTCCCAGAGGTGAGGAATGCTGCCGAGCCTTGTACTTGGGAAAGTGCTGACCCCTGACCAGTCATACGGAAACTTCATTTTCAAAAACTCAACAGCATACATTCACCCCAGGCCAAACGATTACCCATCTCACCTCAAGTGGCCCAAGGCAATGGAAATTGTCGACAACCTCGCCCAGATGGCAAAGCTAAACTGGCCGTGAGTCTTCCTGAATCATTTCACGAAATCGCCTTCTCTAACAACTGCAGACCCTTTGTATCACCAACTCTCTTCCCGAACAAGGAAACACTGCCGCCAACGCTCAGTGCTGTTGCGCCTTTGACTTCATCAGCACATCCCATCATCACTTCGCTATCATGCGCTACTCTTCATCCATCCGACCCATCTTGTCTACGAACGTACCTCAACTTCTGGCTGGGTTCTTTCCCTGGCCTCACCAAATTCTTCCTGGTTATTTACTCCGTCATGACCTTTGTTCCGCGGTTCCGCTCGCTGTACAACGCTCCCGTCACAACATTGCAGCGTGTCATCGCCAAGTCGTTGCGTATGAGCACCTTCTTGACGGGCGCCATCTCCACTGCCTGGGCCAGCATCTGCTTTTTCCAACAGTGGTTCCCCCGCACATTCCTGCCGACTCAGAGGTTCTTCTTTGGAGGCTTCCTCGCCGGTCTCTGGGCGTGGGTTGAGCGCAAGAGCGGACGTGGTGTCTTCCTGTATTCGGCCCGTGTGAGCGTTGACTCTCTGTGGAAGGTCGGCGTGAAGAGGAGGTGGTGGAAGGCCATGAAGGGCGGAGACGTGTGGGTCTTTATCATGGCTTTGATGCTGACTGGTGTTGTCTACGAAAGAGACGCGAGGGCCGTCAAGGAGGGCAGCTGGAGAAAGGGCATCAGCTGGGTCCGGGGTGAGGGCTTCAAGGATTGGAGCATCGAAGAGGAGCCCGAGGATGAGGCACTGTTGGAGAAGACCGACTAGAGTGCGGCGAGCGATTCTGCCCTGCCGACGACACGGCCTACGCCTTCCGGCTCCCTGGAAGATATGGCCACGAAGGATCGAACAACCGTCCAGATGTTTGGTGAGGAGATGATGCTTGAGCTTGAGTCGGACACCAAGCCTCCGACTGATTCGTCGTCTTCGACGTCGTCGAGGAGCGAATTAAGCACAATCGAGGAGGAAATCGACGATGAAGACTTGCCCGTCAGCTGGGGAGCGCCCCTCATCATCGTCACAGCTCATGGGAGTGAGTATGAATGAGAGCACGATGCTTTTGTAAATGAACCCTGTACGCTTTGGTGTGGCTTTAGTCATGACTCCATGGCGAGTTTGTTATTCTTGACATTCATATTGTATCAATGGCGACGAGTTCATGCTTGATGGCTGTTATTAAATACCTCCCTAGTAATGCAAACTTTGTAATCGTTTACTTGTGCTTGTGTCCGTATGAGTACAATATCTTGGCCTCATTTTAGTAGACACGAAGTAGATGTATCTCTGATCAAAAAAAGATATAGTGAAACATACTGTCTAATGAGATTAGTCTCAAAGGCTTATTACAATAGCGAATGTTCTGACTAAATGTAGCTGTGGTCTATACCCATTTACGAACCCATTCTATTTATTGCATTACCCCTTGCCATGTAGGAACGACTGACGAAACCATAACAACTGTCATTTTTGACAGCTCTCGAAACTGCTTTACACCGCAGCCGAGGAGACGCGCTCGTGAACTGAAAACGAGCCATACTTGCCACCTTTCCCTCTTGTGCTGTCGGACCCGGTGATGACAGTCCCCAGCGCGCTCTGCTCCGACATGGGCACATAATCGCCAAACAGCTCGTCCATCTGCTCGAGCGTACGACCCGACGTCTCGGGATAGAAAAAGTAGTAACACAGCGCCGCGACGACGTTGAAGACGAAGAAGACGTAAAAGAACTTGAACCCCACGGCCGTGAGGGCCTGCGGCGAAAAGGAGACGAGGACGAGGTTGATGGTCCAGTTGGTGAAGGTCGTGAGCGCGTTGCCGAGAGCGCGGATCTCGAGCGGGAAGATCTCGGCCGGGTAGACCCAGCTTATGATCCCCAAGGGCGTGAAGAAGAAGCCAAAGACAAAGTTCATGGCGACCATGCTGCGTAGTTGGTCTGCGTTGGAGCGGTCCAGGTACTGAAATTGGATGGCGTTGACGAGGAGAGCGGCGGCTAGGCCTACGGCTGAGGCGATGAGGGGCCTTACGCGGCCGACGCGATCGAGCATCCAGAGGCCGACGGTGTTGTATATGATGCCCAGCGCGCCGTTGATGCCGATAATCATGAGCGAGGTCTGGGTGCCGATGCCCAGGAGCTCGTAGATGCGGGGGCCAAAGTAGTTGATTACATTAATACCCGAGAGCGGGGAGAAGGCCTGGACGCCGCAGCCGAGCAGGAGGCGTTTTCGCCAGGAGGGTTTGGTGATGATGGCCTTCCAGAGGTTGCCGTTCTCACGGAGGGCGGACTGGGTGCGGACGGCGTGGCGGATCTCGTTGTACTCCACGTCGACGGCCTTTTCGTCGACGCCGACGCGGAGCTTGTCCAGGCTGCGACGGGCTTCGGCGTAGCGGCCCTTTTCGACGAGCCAGCGGGGGGATTCTTCGAGGAAGTAGATTCCTGTTGCGATGATGATGCCGGGAATGCATTGGAATGCTAGTGGGAAGCGCCCTGTTGTAGTATGTCAGTGTTGTGTTGCCTCGCGGTACACCAAATAGTTTCAACTCTGGATATGAAGCCTCCACGGAACAGGGAGCTCGGAAAGGTGTAGAAGGGAGATACTAGAGGGGTCTCACATGAAAAGTCATTCGTTACAAACGAACATCCATACCCCAACCACTGCGCAACCAGGAACCCCCAACTAAGCATCCACTGCAACAACCCCGACAGTTTCCCACGATGTCTCGCCTGCGCGAGCTCCGAGGCGTACATGGGAATCGTAGACGTCAGCACGCCCACGGCCGTCCCGCCGACGAACCGCCCAACAATGAGAGCGACGAGATTTTCCGACCCGGCCTGGAGCGCGGAGCCCATGATGGAGATGAGCGAGCCGAGGAACACGGTGTTGCGGCGGCCGAGCCAGTCGGAGCAAATCATGTTGATGATTGTGCCGAGGATGGCGCCGCCCTGGAAGGAGGAGACGATGCCGGCCGCGACGGCGTCGGAGGGGTTGAAGTAGGATTTGAAGGTCTGGAGGGCGATTGTGGAGGTGATGATGCCCGAGTCGAAGCCGAAGAGGAAGCCGCCCGTGGCCAGGAACGCGGCTGACCAGATGGTTACATGGCGGCCCATAGTAGCTTGGGACTATGTGGTAATGGGTAGTAGTCGTGGATGTGACCACACCTGTTTAATTCTTTCTTGAGTGAAGAAGTTGGTGGGTGTGTTGTCAGTTGTCTCTGATGTAACCGATTCCCTGAAATGGATAGCTTTGTATGGACCGGACGGCGTGTAAGTGAGTTTGTATCATGCAAAAAACGGCTCCAGTTGCCAAACGTCGTATCTTGGCAACGGCTTGTTCTGTCTACTCTTCCCCACGAACGGAGGAGAAAAGAAAAAGAGGTGAAAGCAGAGAAAAAGAGAGAGGAAGACAAAAAGAAACCTAGGATAAGATGTATGGGAATTCGGATGCATTTCTAGAAAGGCCTGTGCGAGAGCTGGGCATGTTCGGAACGCAACCTCCCAGCTATAAGGTAGGTGAATGACGGCGGGAAGTGGCGGGCGGGAGCTTATTGCGTAAGTCGTCCAGTCTTTTTTCCCCCTTGAGAAGAAAGATGAGGGAGGTAGGGTAAGCAAGCGAGAGTGAGCAGCGCGACAGAGAGAGGTGTGAGGTGTGAGGTGTGAAACTTTTCGCGATAGGATTTCCCAACATAGTCAACGTTGAACCGACGGCCGTTGAGCTGCGAGATCTCTCCCTTCTGTCTGTCCTGCTTCAGTCTTCTGCTTCAGTCTTTGTGTCCTTCTACGCACTCTGTAGCAGGACAAGGTTAGAGTTCCCGGTGCCTTTTCTCCATCTCTCTCTAAAAGCACCAGCGGCCGGTATTCCTGCAACCGCACAAACGAAAGACGCGCAACGCAAGTCCGTTTCCTGTACTTCCCGCCCCGGCTCCCCGCCGCTTGAAACCGTCACCAAAACGTAAATCTTGCGATGATTATCATATGCTTTTCTGGCTACCCGTCACCCGCCTCCGTCCACCTCTATTGTGTTCCGATTTTTCCTTTCTAACCTTTGTAAACTCACATGTCTTCCCGACTTTTCGTTCAAAGGTTCTGTTAGCCAAGGTATGGACTACTTTCCGGCTCAAGATGTTTGGGGCTGAGCCAACTCCGACTGCTTTTCCCGTCCGCCCGCCACTCCGGGGATGGATGGATTGTCAAATACATTTTGGACCGGGGCTGGCATGCCGCACCCTGTCTTGGTACCCCAGCTTGCCCAGTATTCTACCCGTCCCCCATGTGGTCTTTTCCACACTAAAACATTGTACTAAAACATTGATGTTTCCTTGTCAAAGAGGCTGCTTTTCAGACGCATGGACTCGGGCGAAAGAACGGACGATGACGCACTTGGTTCCGGGCTATTCCTTTAAAGATGGAGGGGGAGAGGGGGGGGGGGAGCTTCACTGCTTCAACACAGACCATCACGTCCCGAAATAGGTGAGGAATGCAATACTCGCCGCATTGGTAATCAGAGTTGGAGAGAGCATGATCTTGTCATAGCTTCAAGTTCGGGCAGCTCCATGTTCTACTCGTCAAATCATTGATTCATGTACTACCTCAAGGTAGGCGGGTTTATATATACAGCCGAACCGGAAAATCCGCCCCATAATTTCTAACAGCTACATCCTAGCTCGTGTTTCCTCTCCCCCCCCCCCCTCCCCTCCAGCTCGCAACGTTTCTACGCGCTAGGCTCGGCCCACTCGTAAGTGGAAGCTTGCGGGACGCCAAAGTTGGGCGTGCCGTCCGCGTTGGCGGTAATGGGCTGGACCATGACATAGCGGCTGTCGTCGCACGCGCCGTTGGCATTCGCCGTGGCGTGGAAGGTGATGTAAGTCTCTGTCTCGTCGGGGCTGCGGAAGAAGCTGTTGTGGCCCGTACCAAAGTTGCCGTTGGCCGTCGTCAGCTGGCACCCGTTGCTCTTTGTCCACGCCGAGGGGGAGGACGGGTCGGTGATGCCGTCCCACTCGAGCAGGGCGACGCAGTAGTCGGGCGTCCAGCAGTAGTTGGCCGAGTAGGCGATGTACGTCTTGCCGCCAAAGTAGAGACCGTAGAAGCCCTCCTGGACGGGGACCTCGCTCTGCTCCCACGGCTGGTCGGGCTGGGAGATGATGGTGATGTTGGGCGAGGCGGAGATGTAGTCGTCGTTGAGCTTGCGGACACAGGCGGACTGGTGCGAGACACCAGTCATGCAGGAATAGACAAAGTAGTTGCCCCAGTCGTTGAAACGGACGACGGTGCCGTCGAGGGACCAGTCGTCGGTGACACGGCCTGCGTAGGACCAGTCATCCCAAGGAGAGGCGCCGCCTGGATTCGAGTGTAAGCATACGTCCCTTCCTTCTATTGAATTCATGGCATCACAACTTACCCTGCAAGACATGCATCCTCTGGCCGTCCAGGTTACCGTCGTTCCCGGCAGTGTAGTAGAGGTACCATCTACCGTCAAAGTAGTGGATCTCGGGAGCCCAGACGCTGCAGCATCGCGTCGGGTTCGAGTCGGAATAGATGACCTTGGGCGTGGCCGTCTTCAAGCCTTCAATGGTCGTAGCACGCGCGAGCTGGAGGTTGGTCCACTCGGTCGAGATGAAGTAGTAATATCCATCGAACCACGAGATCTGAGGATCACCGCCGCCGGGGTTGCGGATGGGGTTGGTGTAGGCGGCAGCCGAGCCGAAGAGGCTGAAGAGCCCCAGTGAGGCGGAGATGATCTTGGAGAAGAACATGGTGTGTTCCGGGCCGGTGGACTTGACTGGAAGATGGTGCCTTGCTTCAGAATGCTACATGATGCCTTCCGACAGGAGAGCTTCCCGCGTCTTTATAGGTCCTGAAGCCGTGACATCGACGGACATGAGGTCGCAACGAGACTGCCGACATCATCAGTTTCCCGAGCGTTCCTGGGGTAGATCCACGCGGGAAGGTATTCTGGTGGCATGGTTACGGCCCCCGGTGGATTCTGTCAAGACAAGATGCTCAATTGTAACTGGAGCGCTTTCTGCCACATGTCGAAAGATGCTCGAGTCAAGACGAACAGCCAGGGACGATCCGGCAACAATCCAAAGTAAACCCCATCAATCATTCCATCTCGGTGCTCGGTTCGGGAAAGACAACACTCAAGATGCGGAGAGGCCAAGACTTGCTAACGGGCGAGGGCACCCAATGTCGACGTTGACTACCGGTACCTTGCTTGAGAGAGGTTACACCGGATTGGCGCGCCAGAAAATGAGAGCAACGGGCGGCGGAGATGGCGGGGTAATAAACGAGAGAGCTCGCACTAACTTGTAATAGACGAGCCAAGATTTTTCTCCCTCTATTTCTCTCCAGACTCTCCAGTTTCTCCCACTTGAGCTATGTTGTCTGGGGTTTGGTGCCACCGTTGTTACCTTAATCTGTGGGGTTCGTCCGGTCGTTGTCACCGATGAGGCCTAAGAAAATCCTAGCATCTCCCACACTGTCGTTGTTTACCCCGTATTCGCCCAATCTGTCTCCCATGTCAATGGATTTCAAGGCTCGCGCCGCATCCACTTCCCAGTTTCTCCGTGTGCGCGTGATAGTCTCGCCCCGCGTCTTTGTGCGTCTTGTCACCCAGCCTCTCGAGGCGGTGCACATGCATGATGGTTCCATCGCGATTTCTTTTCCCAAATATGCTTTTAATAAGCGCTCATTGACGTCACAGCCCAGCCCAAAGTCTTTGCCATGGCACTAACCGCGCCCGTTTGCCTTCTGCCGTGGTGCGCTTATAGATACAGAACTCAATCTAACTCAATTGAAGGAAACGTATCTTTCTTACAGTAGCTATTACGAGGATGCGCGAAACTAATTGTAGTCCACCGTGCTTGGCATCATGGTGATCTTCAAGTTTTGGAAAATTCTATGAATCAGCCCTCAGACCGAGGCACGTCGTGTGAATACAACACAGAGTGGCCGGACCGCTTAATTGAACCACTAGATCATTTCATCGCCATGAGATACGAGCAGAGGCATTGTAGAGTCCCACCAAGGTCTTTGAATGACGGTCGATCCTTCATGCATGCACGTGCATTCAGTTGTGTGAGGTCTTGCTATAATGATGAGAATGAACCCAATTGATCGCAGCGGCAGCTTGGATGATCGAATACCGTGGTCGATCCAAGCCTGGATGGCCACTTGAATGGGCTAAGCATATAACCTTTTCAGCTGTCAACGGTGAATACTCTTCTCAGAATACCTTGACATAACCGGGCAGTGATAGTGGTCTGAATGGTAGATCGGCTTGGTCAACCGCGCTCTCCCTGATATCCAACATTTATGGAAATACTACTTGCAAAAGTATCAAAGGCGAAGCTATTCTGCTTCGGCTAGTTGCAACCTCGGCAAGGAACAACGTCTAGAATCTCGAAAACTATCCAGCTTCCAAGACCGACCAAGTTGCATGTACTATACAGCTTGCCCGTGTTGTCGATGACTCCCATAACAAAGATAAAATACAATCAATATTACTGAAAGACTGCACTATCCGGCAACACTTAAGATTCGACAATGGCCGGGAAAGCTGTATGATTGATATAGCAATGCCTCTCGTCGCGCTTACTCGCAAAGTAAGGCCTCGTCGCGATTAGTAGACTCGAAGCGACTTCAATCAGCAGGTTTCCTCATCCACAGAGTGGTGTTGTCTTGAGCTGTTCATGCTAGTTATATCGAAGATGTGTAATACAGGGCACAACCTCGATCTTAGTAAGGCTGCAGAAGGTAGCCAAAGACATTCGATTTTCAGAGACGGGATTGCTTGTATTGACGATAAATTACAACGACACGAGTCTTGAGAGTCAAGCGGTAGAGTTTCCTGCAAGTTATCATGGCAAGAAATCTAGGAAAGAGCTGAGGGAGGGACAGGGATACCAGCATCAGACAAGCCTTTTGATGAAGCAGTGAAATTGACTGACATGATTTACGAATAGCCTCCCACCGGATCCATATTATTGGCTGTGACACCATGCTGCACGCAAGCTTTGAAAAGGGTCTGGTGCCTTCGCTTAGATCAACTGACAACAGTATCATTAGCTTTACTCTCGTCTGCCTCTACCTGCGATTCCACGTACCGCAGA